TCGCCAGGCTGGGCACCGTGACGACGTTGTGTTTAGTATTGGCCATCTTCAAGGCGTAGATGGACCCATTGGGCCCCAGCGAACGAGCCGCCCGGCCCAGGAAATCCGATCCGCCCGCAATAAACGAAAACGCGTGGCCGACCCATGGAATCCAGTATGGCAGGACAGGCACGGTTCGAGGGCCGTTCGACCCGGCTGTAGCTTGTTTCAGAACCGTAGAGCGGTACTGGAGACCTGAGATGACGCGGGTGACGACACAGACGACGAAGAAGATGGCGACGAGGCTCTGAAAGGGATGTTGGATACCTGTCGTCAAGATATGCTGAAGAAACGAGGAGTTTCGGTCTTGTGGGGAGACGTTCATCTTTGCGAGAAGCGGTCAGCGCGGGTTTGCCGTGGTTTTCTTGTAACCAAAGATGACCAGCAACGACAAGCCTCGTGATATGTCGAGAGGGTTGGGTGATTGTATGAAGGGCTATCTTTTTTTCTCCAGGTCCTGAAATCAATGTAGCGCGATAATTGCACGCGCCGCAATGTTTCGTTTGTAGTTTTCGATACACAACAAGTTTCTCGAATGTCGATCGACACACTCGGTGCTGGAATGCCTCTTCTTTTGAAATCGAAATCCCGCGATCCTGAGCTCAAGGTGGTCAGGAAGGAGCGAGCGACAACAAGCAAGTCTAACACTGTGCGTGCGTATCGTACTCTATCCCTTCCCTGGCGCGGCTGTGTTTGTGCATTCTCGAGTTGATCGTGCAAAGCCTCGTGTGGCAGGTAAGCATACGAGGTACGTTATAGGCCAAGCGAGAGTGTTGGATGCCTGAGAATCCGCGTGCAACGTTTCTGACCAACGACAATGGGCGAATAATTAAGGGGAAACAAGGTGCTGATAAGGGGGGCCAGAAAAGTCCTGGACCAATTGGGCCCGTTGTCGAATCAGTGACCGGCATTTCCAAGGATCGGGCTTAGTGATCTCGAGCATCGTGATAGGGGCCACCCAAGGGCCACTTTCACAATCAGCACAACTGACAACGGACTCGGTGCATTCGCTGCTACACTACAATACATCTGTATATTGCTCGCTCGACAAAGCTGTTTAACAATCACGAATTGAGGAGAGTCGTCGATATCTGATCTGCGACTGGGACGCACAACATCAAAACTGCTCGGCAAGCACCTTCTTCAACCTCCCACTCTGCGCTTCGTACTTCATAATCTTCTCCTGGCTCGCCATCGCCTTCCCCAGGCACCATTTAATCCGGGGCTTCAACTCGCTGGGCATGCCAGGCATCTCTGCTAGCGTCTTCAGCTCAGCCTCGTATTTCTCCACGTTCTTGTTCTCCAGGCTGATCAATTGGGACATAATTGCCAAATCCAGTCTCGCCCTCAGCACGTCGTCCTCGGTCAAATACTCGAATGCAGATTGGTACACCGGTTTCCCAGGCTTGATGCTGTATGGCCGTCCATTCTTGGATGTAATCGTGATCAATTCTGCCTGCTCGAGAGCCTGCAGCACGGTCTCGCCATCTTTGAAGAGATCATTGAGGAGAAGCTCGTTGTATCTGAGTGTTTCGTTTGCCGCAAGCTCTTTGATCAACAACCATGCTTGTTGAGGCGTCCACTTGCGGCTCGAAACGTCGACGTCCAGAAGATACATTTTGAGGATCTCCGACGCCGATTGCTCAATGATTTGGCGTACTGCTTCTGTTTTTCATTTGTCAGTAATGATCGATGACGGGAAGGAGTTCAGTCCACGTACTTCCTGGTGTTTCGCCTGTCTTGATCCTCCGCGCCAGGAACTCAAGGTCGGTCAATCGACCGCCGAGAACTTGGATCACTCCGTCCAGCTCATCAAGATCACTTCTCAGCTGTGATGGACTGATCTTACCCTCGCCCGGTTCGCCGCCTTCCGCAATGTCAGCGTCCAAGTGCTTGATTACGAACTTCTTTGCCACTTCAGGCGTGCAATCACTCAGCGTGATTTGCCGGAATACCCTGTCAGGTAGGGCTTTACTGAGGGACTTGGAGAATGACACGTCCGTAGTCAGGAAGATGACATGGGCAATGTTCTGCGTCGTCAAAAGAGCTGCCCACTCTCCCAGTTTATCATAGACCATACTCGCAGAACCCTCATTGTTTTTGTGCAAGAAGTTATCAATCACCACCACTGGTCGATACTCTGGATGAGCTTCAAGCCACTCGTCGTCTGCCATCTGCGCATCTTTGTCGTCCTTTTTGCGCGGCGCCAATGCAATCTGCTTCAACGCTGTCGTCGTGTTGCCCCAAATCTTGGCCAGTTGGTTGTCCAGCGTCTCGGAGAATCCTGCTTTCGTGCCAATGGTGGCTGTCGCTGCAAGATCGACCATGCTGCTGATACTGTTCATCCAAGAAAACACTGGGCGGTAGCCCACTTCGGCCGCGGCGGCGGCAATGGTGTTGCTGTCTCCGCGTGCTTCCTGGATCTTCTTGCAATCAATCACCAGCTTATGTGGTCGATCTTTCAGCGCCTGGTCGAGGACCAATTCCTTCTTGCCTGCCCCGCGCGGTCCTTGCACCACTATAAATGTGTCTGCAGTCTCGATCAACCACGTTTTCAACTGATTGATGACGTCCTGGCGGTCTTCCCAGACAATCTTTAGGTTGTCCTCGTCACGATTCTGGTTCCGGAATCTGATGATGTCGTAGCCTCGCAAGAGTTGGCTTCTGACCCACTTGAAGATACGATAATCTTCCAGATGCAGACCGTGGCTGATATGCATCCTGATGAAGAATGTGCGGATGGGGTCGAACACGGCGACAGACGCCGCTGTCAGTAGAGCGACTATGAAAGGAATAACGATCCTGGGGTGGTTCGTCATCCAGTCCCATATCCAATAGCTTTTGCGCTTAGATTCATAACTCAGTTTGAGAAGCGTTCCAGTCTTTCCCCCGCCATCTTGGGCCGGGACGATGTAACCATGCATACAGTTCTTGGCCATGGTTGCGAATCGAATTCGTGTGTAGTCGATATAGGCATACTTTGGCACAACTTTGGAGTCGGATGGTTGCGGTATGATTTCTGTGAGCTTTCCATATCGACGGAACAGTGAATAAAGCGTCTCTTGGGTCAGTTCGGCTGCAGCATTCTCAGGAGCAGTAGGCAAGAATTCGACCTTTATTCTAGGAGTAGGGACACGATATAGATCTTCGATCCACGGCTTCCCTTGCACCAGAAAGGCGCGCACCCTCCGAAAAGGATTGAACCATGGTGTAATGGGCTTTTCCTCAAGGTATTGTTTCAGCGTGCTTTCCAGCTCGGTGGCAGATATTCCTTCTTCATGAGAGAACTTGACAAATGCGCCGCCCTCGCGCAGTCTTGGTAGAATCGTTTTGACATGGAGGGGGAGGTTCTCAGGTAGGGCTCGCTTGATGATGCTGGAGGGATCGGCCAGAGCGAGATTGGGTTGATTGACTTTGCTGAGGGATGTCGCAAGGAACTTGTCGGGATTTAGATAGGGGATACGATTGAGCCATTGAAGCTTTAGAGGAAAAACGTCTGTGTCGAGGTCAGTAGATTGCGCAGGCAAGGTATTAGACTGGTAGCGGCGCTCACTGTCAAAGAACAAGATTCCTTCATTTTTCTGGGTCAGTATGTGGCCTGATTCATTGTCGCCAGCTTCAGTCGAAGTCCACCTCTTGCGCGACGGCGTAACAGAGACTCTGGGGGTTGAAGAAGGATTCTTCCATGCGTACAACTGGCTTTTCCTCGAGAGCTCCGCGAGCAGCCCCGTCGGTCGCCCGAAGGACTTTCGAGCAGTCCTTGATAGAATCATGCTGCCGATGGCCAGAGCACCATTTAGAGAGGGGTGTGGTCTATCTGCTCATCTTGCCATGGCAAGATAGCATAGCTTGAAACATGGTCCCCTTTTCTTATCTATACACAACGCCTCACCCACAAAGAACCTTGAGTTTCTCTTATTACATCGGCGCAGCTTGACAAGCGTGACCAGCCAGCATCATCGTTGTGGATGGGGCCATGACGTCGGTAGGATAAATTTGTGGCTGATCTGTGGCTGACGGGCCAGTCCGTGGCTTGCACTATCCATTAATTTTCTTGCTGCTCCGACGCGACTGTCTCCAACCTGTTCCTTTCCACGGGAATCAATCGAGTCAGGATGAGCTGGTGGTGGCGGCAGAAGCCCGCATCAAGCAGTGATGCTGGCAGAGAGGGTGCTTTGTCCAGCCCTGAGACACAGGACGAGCCCAAACCTGTCTCTGCTGTTCCAGTTCCGGACCCTGTCAAGCGCACCCTCACCCGAGATGAGCAAAGTGAGCAGGAATTGATGGAGTTCTTGAGGGAGATCCAAGCGCAAGCAGATGCAGAACAAGCCCAGAGAACGAAATCCAGACCGTCTACAACTCCGTCACCCCAAGCACCGAGTCAAACGGACATCTCTCCCAATTCCCTCTATCCAACCGAGCTCTCCTGCAGATCTGCCTTCGACTATGCCATGTTCTGCCAGAGCTTTGGAGGCCAGTTTGTCAACGTCTATCGCTATGGTTCCTTCCGCTCATGCTCCAACCACTGGGACGATTTTTGGCTTTGCATGAAGACGCGAAACTGGAAAAAGGAGGACCGTGAGAGGGCCATACAGGAGCATTATCGAAAGAAAGCAGTGAAATGGAAAACCGGACCAAGCAGTGAAGATGTGTGGGAGGTCCGACAGGAGCCAGTCAAGGAGCCTTTCTCCGGCAATTTGGCAGAACTTGAAGCTCAAATGGCTGAGTACAAGAAGAACAATCTAGCTGTGCCAGAACTTTGGACGCCGACAAAATGAATGAGGGTGCCCTTCCGAAGCTTCTGCCTCCAACAACTTCACTCGAGATGTTTCATTGTAGTGAGACAAGCGGAGGTGCGGCAGTTTGCTGATACAAATACACTTGGCCACCCCTCTGCTCAATTCACCTACCTCGACATCTCTTCAGACGAACTCACCAAGAATCCTTTCCATCCACGAGCCATGGATCCGGCACTCCCACGATTTATGACCCGTATGATTCTATCGACGACGCCGCAGCAAGCCTTTGCACAGGTAGATGAACTTCACCTGCAGGCCGCAGCCCTTCGAGAACAAGCCCGCGAACTCCAAGAGCAAATCGACTTCCTCAAAGATCGAGCCGACTGTCTAGCCACAACGGCGGAGGGTCTTCAAGAAATTGCCGAGCAAGATCGTGACGCCATACAGACCATGTTCGAACGATCTCTCTGCATTTACCAGCACATGTACACGGTCTACGTCTCGGCTCCCCGCAGGGAAGCACGTTTCAATGACATCAAAACGCGCTCGGAAGACGGGATGGTGACCATGGAAGAGATGGAAGAATTCCTGGAAGATGTATACCAGCACTTCCTCGTCACGTTCGAGAGAGTGGAGAGATCAGCCGCACCCGAGCCCGAAAGTCCACCAACTCTGAATACACTCTCCTCCGCAGCACAAGCTCAAAACCAGTCGGAAACGGAGGTACCCATCAAGCAAGGGTTGAAGCGAAAGTTTTCCACCTTTCAAGAAGATGAGAATGGCATAGATGCAGACTCGGAACGAGCCAACAAGGGCAATGATGCTGTCGAGTCAAGTGATGAAGCTTCCTCAGACGAAGACTGTCAAGATGAATCGACCAACAACGTTGAAACAAATGAGGAGAGCAGCTGTGAAGGCACAGAAGACGTGGAAGAAAGCCCAGGCGAAGAATCGGGGTCAGCAAGCGGCGAGGATAGTGACAATGAATGCGATGATTCCGAAGTGGTCGGTTCATCTGATGGCGAGACAGAATCAGATTCCTCAAAATGATCTCATACAGCAGTCAACGTCGGCTGGCCAACTCCCAAGAAGTACTCCGGTCGCAACGGCTCAACCAACAGTGTCCAATCTCTTTCGTCCTCAGCTTCAAGCACTGTTTCACTTGGTTTCTGAGCTATGCACGAGGATCGATCGTTACAAGGGAGAGAAAATCAGAACAACTTGATCAAGGACGGGACAAGATTGGAGAATAATGTGCTGCGTGGTTGGGCATGAGCAGGTCTGGAGGGCGACGTTTAGAAGAGCGATTGAAAGCGGCTTCACCAGGAATGAGAATGACCTGAGCTGCAAAACACCAACCACACCACTCGACTAGTGTGCCGCGGACCTTGAGCTCGACCCTGGCAAGCTCCCTTGTTGTCTTGGATGTGGGATGTGCTAGATGAATGGTTTGGGGTACTACAGAGAGGAAGAGGCCTGCTCCCAAGCGCTAGGTCGTAATGTTTCTTGATCGACTCTGAACGTGAATATCTTGAGGTGTTTCACTTCTGTCAACAAAATCAAAACCAAACTCCTCACTCTAGTTTCATTCCCTCCTCTATCTCGTTTACCCTTTCTATCCTTTATTTTCTTTGAGGTTACCTTTACTTTTTTCTATCCTTTGTCTTTCTTCTCCAGTTATTCTTTGATTTTTCCTGTTTCCATGCCACCACATTTCACCATGGCAGCAGCAGTCTTGAGTCATCCAGACTCTCTTCTCCTCGAGGCGGATTTCTTGCAGGCTCGATCCGAAATACTCCAGAGTCTCAGCGGAGACATTCGTTTTGCAGCCAAAGTTCTCGACTACAAGGTCTATAACATGGAGAACCGCATTGTCGGCCTGAGGAAACTAGCTTGGGAAGCGAGGTCGAAGATCAACGGCCGTGCTGGAGATGCCGTGCCGGATGGGCACGACGAGCAGGATGAACGCAGACTTAAATCCGTCTTGAAGGATGCACGCACATCGATCGAGTCTGCGCAACAAGTTAAGCAAGCCTTGACGGAGGTTGTATGCGGACGACCAGAGGCGGCTGAGGGCATTGCCTCGGTGCAAGAATTGACAGAGGAAAGACATGCTGCCGTCTGGATCGAGAAGGTCTCGAAGATGGATCTTCGTTCGTTTCAAGAGACGCTGTTGCAGGCTGTCCCTCGCGCCAGACCAGTCTTTGTCCACTCGAGCGGGTTCATCCCCGTCAATTTTCACGCCATGTCGTCCCAAATCCCGAACCAGGAAAACGCCCGGTCCGATAAGATCTGTCGACAATCGCAGAATGTCAAGCAGACACCCCTGGCCGGCGAGCAGGTAATCACAAAGACCAAGGTCTACCGTCGTCGTGGTCGCGACAACACACGAGGGCGCAAAGTCGCCGTTTCACATGTAGATCTTCACAGACGCTCCAAAGTCGACAATCGCTCGAGATCTCCAGCGGCGTGCCGCCAGGCAGAGAAGCAGCAGGTGGAGGGAAAGGGAGACTTGCTTGGATAGATTCCGAACAAGGTCCCGGTCGCCCGTCTCCCTGTGGATCAAGGTCTGCGAGCTTTGATGAGGCGGGAAGAGCAGAGCAGGCAGCGAGATGGGGCTTGATAGTCGACAATGACCGATCCCATCCATCACGGACGAAGGCGGTATTTGCTTCTTGAGGGGGCCCTGAGGAGGTCACGTATGGTCTGACGCAGGAGAAAAAAGAATTTGATCAAGTCTGTCTTATCCGCAGCATTTTGAAAAAGGAGGCGCCAACATTGAAACCCATCTTCCGGAGAAAAAGTCGAGATACGAGCTTGGATTTGTCAATTTTTGGAGTTATGGACATGACATGGCCTGACATGAAAGCACTGGGCCTCTTTATGCACAAGGACGGACGCGCCATCTGATCAACCAGAACAGAAGGACTTTCCTGTTTTGTGAGGTGGGGATTAGTACGGATGAGACTTGGACTTTCAGGACCGTGGATATGAACAAAGATCAAACAGAAATGGTATTGAAAATCTCGACATCTTTATCTCTGGTGGCTCGTCCGATGTTTCGTCCACCAGCCCAGCCCAGCCCAGCCCCTTTCCTGACACAGCCTTCTTCTGAGCGAGTAAGTGAGCGAGCGATGAGCAGCCGCCAACCCGCCAGCGTACCTGGGGAGGAGACCAGGGGAAGAGATGATGCTGACAATCAACCCACGGGTTATGCACGTCTCGTCAATATGCATCCTTACACAACCCCCCTTTTCGCGCCTGTTTTCTCTACTCGCCATGTACGCTATTACATGAGATCTCACTCCAATCCCCTGGTCTCCCTGTCTGATCAATTCTAGCGCCTTCCTCTTTGTTGGTAATACATGCATACATACAGACATACATACTTACCTCGCACATACATGATTGCATGTATTGTCAAAGGCCAATTCTACACACATCTACGAACGAACCGTGCGGCAGCGATTGATGACCGACAAGATGCCGGCCGGCAAGTCCCCATTTCGCGTACCAATGAGCGTCGGATGGACACGTCAACAGAAGCGCTACCTTTGTTGGGTCTTATGCAAGGAGGAGGAAGAGGGGGGAGGAAGACGAAGGAGAAGAAGAATATGACTACAAATTATACGTTGGCTGATAAAAGCCCCTCTCTGGTTTCTTCTATATAACAGTGAGTGCGTCAAAGGGCGGTTGTGGTTGATACGTACAGGCCTTTTTAGAGCACAATACTGTAAGTGTATAGCAAGCAATTAATCCCTGAATCATCACAACTAACCTACCTATACAATCAGCCTGGAAAACAGTGGTCCAGAGAGGAGGTGAAAGTTCAACCATGTCTGATCCTATCAAGAAGGTCGTTGTCCTCGGGGTATGACTTTCCCCTTTCTCCCTCTTCCCACTCCTTCATCCAGCAAACGAAGAAACCCCAACCCCTCTAGAAATGAGAGACCCTCGTTTAATCGATGAGATGTATCAGTACAGGCGACAGGCAACGTCGGCAGACCCATCACCACGGCGCTCGCCGAGGCCGGCTACACCGTGACAGCGGCGTCGCGCACCCCGGGCCAAAAGTTCCCGGACTCGATCAAAAACATCACCTCCGCCGTCGTCGACTACACCTCGCCGGAAGCGCTGACGGCGCTCTTCACGGGCCAGGACGCCGTCGTTGAAGCCATCCCCCCAAACGCGCTGCACATGCAGGGCACCATCGTCGACGCATGTTTAGCTGCGGGCACCGTCAGACACATCATCACGCCGGACTTTGCGTGCGACACGTTCAACGAGCACATCACCGAGTTGGCGCTGTACGTGCCCAAGGTGGAGGCGCAGAGGGTCTTGGAGGGGAAGTTGAAGGGCTCAAAGGTGAACTGGAGCGCCATCATCACTGGGGGGTGGTATGATTGGGGTGAGTACCACCAATTCTTTTTCCCACGGGACCATACTTGGATACGAACAGTGTCCTCTGGCAAGATGAGATCGAGGAGACGACCCAAAGGCTAACCACATTCTTCGCCTCTCTCTTGCATGGCTCTACAGCAATCCCCCTAGGCTACTACTGGATCAACCCGCGCACAAACACCCTCGTGGTTTACGGCAGCGGTAACCAGCGCAACAGCATGTGTCGAGTTTCCACCGCCGCCCAAGTCGTGTGCGACGTCCTCAGAGACCCCGAGAAATACGCCAACCGGCCCGTCTACGTGGCCGACCACACCGTCAGCATGAATGAGCTGATTCCGATCCTCGAGGAGATCAAGCCCGGATGGCAGATCGAGCGGGTCGACTTGGACGAGTTCTTCGCGACGGCGAAGAGACTGTGGGACGAGGACACGGACAAAGGGGTCGAGGTGCGCTTGTTGACTCCTGGTGAGTATTACCCCTTTCTACACAAATCGGTAGATACACAAAAGAAACTTATGCCGCTGGAAAAGCATACAACATGCTAGGAACGTACGGCATCTTCGAGGAAACCAACCGCTACAACGCCGACTTTGGCCACTTGATCGAACCGGAGTGCGGGTATCAGAAAACCCTCGAGGATTTGAAGGAGGAGTTGAAGACGCTTGTTACATAGAAGAGAAGAAGAAGAAGAAGAAGAAGAAGAAGAAGAAGAAGAAGAAGAAGAAGAAGAAGAAGAAGAAGAAGAAGAAGACGGCGATGCGGAGGGGATGAATGGAAGTAGAACGAAAAGATGAACAGGTATACAAGACTTTTGGCTCACTCGATCCTTGTTTTTGTTTTTCTCTTTTCACTTTGTTGCAATAGACAGACTATTTTTTTCCCCGTAAATGCTTTCGAGACGTTTCAGACGGACACCACCGAAGGGGAGTCACAAGTCAACCAGCGACAAGCAAGTGGCTCACCCGGCTCCTCGTGTAATGCGCAATGTGCGATGCAGAATCCGTCGCGACAGAAAAGTCAAGAGCCCGGGTCCAGGTCCAAATCTATTTCCATCCTGACCACTCCCCTCGGTTCTGGACATTCAATCGTCATTGACATACTTGTCAAAGACGTCGGCGTACCACCTCGCGCCCACGTCCCTGTGACTGCGAATCTTTGTCCTGAGCTGCGCCTCACCCCAGGAATCATAGCGGCCTCTGAGAAAGGGGCTGTCGATCTGCTGACCCTCGGCGGACTCTTTGCCGCCAGCTGCAAAGGTCTCGGCCGTGGCAAAGTGGTCCCACAAGGCCTTGAGGTCCGACTTGGACAGGTCCGGGCGTACGCCCTGGAAAAAGGGGACGCTGTAGCGGTCGTAGTCGCCGGGCGGGAGGAGGACGCGGTGCGTCGTGGCCTTGCAGATGCCGTTGGTCACCACCTCAAAGGCCTGGCCCATGTTGACGACGAGCGTGCCGGGCACGGGCGGCGCGTCCAGCCACTCCCCGTCCTTGGACAGGACCTGGAGGCCCGGGATCGACGGGTCCGACGCCTGCAGCAGGAACGTCATCCACCCGGAACTGTCCTTGTGGGGGCCGACGCCTTGTGTGGCAGAAAGAGACTCTGTCGTGGCGTCTGCGGACGGGGACGAGGTAGGACGGTAATGCACAAGCTTGAGCCGGTCTTGCGGCCCCGTAAACGGCTCGAGACTGTGCGGCGGCAAGTCGAGCGCCTCTGTGACCAGCTCGAGGAACCTCAGGGCGAGATCGTGCATGGCCGCGATGTACAACTCGACAATCTCGCGGAACCGAGGCACCGTATCGTTTGCCGACTCATCGGGCCACTGATTCGGGCCTTGAAGTCGAATATACAGAGGCTGCGGCGACACCACACTATACCTGTCGGGCAACTCGTTGGCAAACTCAAACTGCTCCCTCTGATCCTTCACCCGCGCCGTGACCTCGGATCCAAACTTGCTGTAGCCCAGGAAATGCGGCGAGTTGACGAGGGCGACCGAGTCCTTGACGGCGTCCGGCAGGGCGAAGAGACGAGGCAGGGCGTCCACGAGGTCCTGGACGATCGACTCCCGAATGCCGTGGCCGGAGAGGTACAGGAAGCCCACCTCGAACAACGCATGGCGGAGGTCTTGGAGGAGTTCAGGTCGCGTGGTCGGATCCCCAGCTTTGCGCAGGTCGATGGTCGGGATGGACATTGCTGGGATGTATGTACTTCGACACTGCGTGGGAGAGTCTCAAGCCACTTAACGATCACGAATAGCAAGAACAGGGATCTCTTCTCCCACCGATTATCCTACCTCTGACCAAGTGCGTTGGTCACCTCATACTTGTGGATTGTGGAAGGCGAAGACGGGAATGAAGACAGACGGAGAATCGCACAAAGAGTGGAGTGATTGAAGCACGCAATCAACGGGCTGAGCGCAATAGGGGAGATTCGTGTTATGTAAGCGAATCAGCCTCGCGACGCCAGCCTCATTCATGAAGGAATATGATAAGCAAAGGATCGAAGAACCAGAATACAGTTGCCAGCTATAGCCCAGATGGAAATGAGAGCATGTTCACGAACAGGATGCGGTGTCAGAGAGAAACTATACGAAGCACAGTAACTGCCCTTACCCCAAGGTCTTCTTCGTTTGGGTAGTCGATGTCTCGAGAGCATTACCTTTGATGCATCATACATGTTCTGTTCACTACCTCGTATATTTTCTGACCGCATTGACCTTTGGTTGTACCGAGCAGGCCATCGACTCTATCGAGTACGTCTCAGCCCATTTTCCGCCAACCGATTTGCCTCCGCAAGTTCTGTAGCCTGCTGCGCCCTCTGTCTCTCCAATTCCGCCATTTCCTCTTCTCCTCCACTTGCTTCGGCCTCGTCGTCTTCTTCATCGCTGCTGCGACCTCCATCTCCCTCATCGTCGGCTTCATTGTTCTCATCATCTGGTTTCCTGCGTCTCTCAAAGTCTTGCGCGTGGGCGGTCCCAATGATAGTTCCCATCCGTTGCAGAGCCCGCATGGCGGGTGTTCGAGGCATGCCCGGAGACCGACGTTGACGAAGCGATGCATCTAGCGAAGGTACGCTTTCTAGATCCACGCCAGTGGCAATATGTTCTTCAGGCTCGGTAGGACGTGGAGTGGTAGGTGTCTGGCGCCTCTGAGTCGGAGATACCATGCGCGAGTCTGGTATGTCGTAGGGTAGAGGAATATCCCGCGAAGCACGGAATTTCCCAACATTGTTACAATGCTCGTTTTCGACCCGGAACAGGGACCATATCCCCCTTCGGATGACCTCGGCCAGACTGACAAAGAAGGACATGAGTGCGGAATGCTGCACGTCGGATGTAAATATGGCATAAAACACCCACTGTTGTCGAAGCAATACATCCGCCACGATCGCAGCATAATATATCCACACTTGTTTGTAGGCGAGCCGCTCTCGGAGGAAGGAATACTTTTGCACAAAAAAGTCGCCCAAGCTCCAATCCATGAACACATCCCAGAAGGAGCAATATACTCCATTCACAAGCGCAAATGTGACAAAGATGGACCAAGTTGTGTGATTCATGTCAATCCGATAAATCGACAGTGTAGCATAATAAGCAATGTTGCCGCAGTATTTGAGACAGTTGGCGAGATGAGGGAACCAGTTTCGTGAATCATAGTAACGGCGCAGACATTGTAACGCTCGCCAGACCGCGGGCAAGGCGGCAAAGAACCCCAGTAAGCGTGAGTGGTTGGAGTTGCACTGTGGAGGGTTGTTCCAATCGTTGACATAGAGGCAGAAGAAGACTTCGATCTGACCCATAGCGTACGTTTCCGAACAGTACATGTCGCCCAGGTAGAAGTCTCGGAACTCGACCGGATAGAACGGCGCACAGGCGAGCCTCATGTTTGTGACAGCCCACCATTTCCTCGCATTATGATACAGGATCGGAAAAGGGAGGAATATGATGAGCATGGTCAGGACGATGAGAATCAGCGGCCAATAGACGTAGAACCAATCGTAAGAGCTGTGCCGAAAGTTGAGGTAGATGAATAGACCGTTGAGGAAGAGGAAAAAGCAAGGTAGTTCCGCCAGTTGCCGCCAGTCCAGCACATGTCTGGTGTCGTACTCGAAAATGAAGACGTAGTTGATGTGGTTTCGATTCCACATTCTGCAGTCCAGAACAAACATTAAGAACAAGATCACGATGAGAAAGTATCCGGCATATAGCTGCAGGAGGTAACTGGTCTGCACGGACATCCTCGGATCGTCCAGTCGAAAGGCAGCGTCGACAAGGCCAGCCACCCCAAAACAACTGCCCGCTGCAACGTATAGGCCGTTGCGAAATGTCACCGCCGACTGATCCCCGGAGCCTATCTTCGATCGCAGTTTCTTAACAGCGACCTTGTGGTTGCCGCGCTCAAAGTACCGGGCGTATAGATCTTCGATGGCCATAAGGTGATTGTCAACCACGTCGCTCGTGACGAAATAGGCATTGTTGACTTTTTCTGTCATGTATCGCAACGGAGGTCTGGCTTGGACCGCCTTGTCATACTTCTTATTGATCTTACGGAAGCCCGTTTTGTTCAGCAAGGCATAGGATTTGAGCAATTCCAGCCCGCGATAGAATTCCTGCAGCGCAAGCTTCAGCCTCTTCTTTGCGACCGAATACTTGATTTCGCTGCCGTGTTCGCGGCGCACGTAATCTTTCTTTGCTTCGTTGATCCTCTTTTGAGCTTGAGGTCCTGGAGGGGAACTCATCTGTGCCATGGCTTGACTGGTCTTGCCGATTGTAGACCGACGACCCATGACATCTCCGATTGGTTTGGGAATGAAGTGACTACCACTTCCGTTGGGCCTGGTATTCTCCTTGAGCACGTCCGGAGGTTGCTTTCGTATATCGTCTAGATGTGACGGTTGCGTGCCACCATTCAAGTGTTTCGCCCTCATGATTTCCGCTATTCGTCGATCCCTCATTTCGTGGAGTTGCGCCCTGAGCACCTGCAGACGCTCAGTGGCCTCGTCTTCTTTCGCCTTGTAGAAATCCTCAATCTTGGTGAGTTCCTTGTCCAGGTATGCAAAGAAATCGGCCTGTTTCTCGTCGAGCTCTTGATACGCCGAGAGCTGCATGTCGTTGACGGTGGCCTCGGTCAAATCACGGGGAGCGAACATCTTGCGGAACCTTTGCGATGCTGAAAGCGAGTTCGTCCTCTGCAGCGGTCCGGAGACGGACTGACTTTTGACCTCCTGCCGCCGCTTGAACATGGCCTTCGCTAAGCTTCCCGCGATGCTGTGTCTGGCGAGAGGCGGGTGATGTGTCGGTCCGACATGGTACGGATCGGGTGCAGGTGGAACTTGGGCTGGTGGAGGGAGTCGGAGGGACGTTTCCTGGGACTTGGATTCCAGTTCTGTGGGTGGCCGCGACCGTGCAGGGGTCAAGGCGGGATCTGGAAGTTCGAGGGCGGCCATCATACCCGGTGTCTCATCTGGAGGCGTGCCAACAATGGAACCATAACTCATTACTCGCCGCGCGGGTTGACTGGGATGAAGCGGCGTATTTTCTGGCGGCGTCTCTGCACTGTCGACCGGCGCCCTGGGGATGTATATAGGGGGAGACGCTGCGAACATGGTATGACTTTGCCGCTGGGGCATCGGGGGTCTGTCCCCCAGCTCTTCATCTTCGTCTTCATCTGGGCCGATCTCTTCTATCTCGGGCAGGGACTGGGTCGACCTCGCGGTAGGCGGCCGGTGGAGGTTGAAGTCATAGTGGGTGAAGGGTGTGCGCGGGCCTGAGAAGGCGTCGAGGTTTGCAGAACGGGGTTCAGTGCCGGGTGTTCTTTGGAGGTTCCTGAGGGCCTTCGAGATGGCCTTGATCTTCTTCTTTCCCACCTGCGAGCAGTCACAGTCAGTGTAAAGCGACTCCACTCGCACCCAGAGCGACTTGCCTTGTAATTCAAGTACTTGGCTTTCCATTCCGGAACCGCTTCTTCCTCCAATTCCCTACCACGGTTAGATTTCCGGTTTGAGAGAAGGGCGTTTTTGTCAATACAGGCGTAGGACTTACTTTGCGAACTTCATGGCGCGATTGCAGGCCTCTGCATCAGCGCATCCTGCCTCTTAGCCGTAGTCATCTATCGCAATGTTCGAGAGACTCGACAAAGGGCCCGAGAACGAGGATAAATGGTGTGGGGAGGGAGCCATGGGAGGATCGCGAGGGCGGAGAAAGCGAGAGAAAAGACGCGAGAAAGTTGCACTGCATGGGCGTCATAGTCAAGCTTTTGAGCTTGACTGGCTGAGATCCGCCAATCCTCGCTACCCACGTGCGTCGTCGATACGTCCATCTTCTTTTCTGCCACCCCGATCTCAATACCAGATTCCCAAGGGCTACCGGGTTTTCCGGGGTTCTCAAGGCTTCGCTAGATATCTACCCGTGCCTTACGGCTATCTGAAGATGTCAGCTACATAGTCTTAAGGGCTATGCCTGCACAGAACCTTGCCAGTCGCCAGCCTATCCCATCAGACCGGCTCTGACTTCATGAACACCCAATCAGGCAATCCGTCAGGCGGGGTTTGTTGAGCTGAAGAGGAAAATATTGACGGTGTTTAGATACTAGGTATAGAGACTTATATCTGCCGCAGGAAGAACCCTTCGCTATCCTTTGGTCCTGCTTCACTTAATACAGCACCGTGCTTTGCCTCTAGTACCTCGAGCATTCGCCATCCGCCAGTAAACATGGTCTACACAATAACCGTCCACCTCCGCGCCAAATCCTCCGACCCGGCCATCATCCAAAAGCTAAAGAACAAGCTCATCGAGGCTTCCCGGGTGTACTCCAAAGACAAAGAGACCCTGTCGTGGTTCGTCATGCAGTCTGTCCACGACGAACGCGATTTCACCATCGTCGAGAGATACAAGCAGGAAAGCAGCCAGAAGTATCATCTGGACAACCCGTACTGGAAGACCTTTGACCCGTACGTCAAGCCGCTCCTGGAAGGGGAAATGGATTTGAGAAGGTTTGAGGAGTTGGACACGAGCAAGGACGTCGTCGTAGAAGGATCATGAAGGTCCAGCTCAGCCTCCCCAAATCTATCAATCACATTAATATTAGTGGCTGGCTTTCTGCACGGTCACTCCACCTCCATGATCAAAGGCTGGTTCTTGAGGATGCTCAATATTGATTTTATCTCTTGATATGTACATATTGAATGATTCTTGGTCAGTTACAACAACGCCGTTTTGAATGCCTATACGCTCCTTGAACAGAAGCCATATCATAGAGAAGTCAGGTTGCAGTAGAATAGACCTCTGGCTTCATATTCCTGCTCGTGGAAGGGGCTCGAGGCTCTGTTTAAAGCCGTTTTACCATCCAGAATCTGTGTTCCCTTAGAAGCACCCACCAACCGTCTTCCTCTCCACTGTGGTGTCATCCCCTTGATGTCTTTCTTCTGGCCTCCGCTCCTTGTTCGCCAAATCTCTTCTGAGACTGTCCATGTAGTGCCGTGGACGTCGTCCGCCCAAAAACGAGGGCAATGCACCAAATTTATATTTAACCGTACGAAATTTGTGCGTTTGGCTCACCTGGGGCCATGAAGTTGGTCTCAGGGTTACCCGTCTCCTTTGCTGCACTGCAGCGAGCCATTGTCGGTGAGCTAGAGCATCGTTAGTATCTTAATGTTTATATGGGATTCGGCTGGGCGCGCTGGTGTATGACATACCTTCTTGAAATCACATCCGTCTGGTAGAAGTCTTTGATGGGAAGCTCCAACTTCTGTCCTGTAGCTTTAGAGCCCTTGTTCGCATCTACAAGCTGTACTTTGCTCAACCCAGTCAATGTCTGCGGCTCAAGAGTGTCGTATCTCCGTAGCGCCGGCGAAATCTCTTCGAGACGATCTCTCAACACTTCCAAATCGTCATATGGTAACGGGGCACCCAAGAACTCGGATGCTGCTCGAATGATCTTCCAGTCCGTCCGTGCCGCTCCGGGTATTGCGACCGCAGAGCGAGTGATCTGCACCCGGCCCTCAGTGTTTACATAGGTTCCGGATTTCTCGGTGTATGCAGAACCAGGAAGAATGACATCTGCGAGCTGTGCACCAGTCTCACCGTGGTGACCCTGGTAAATAACAAATGCGTCCTTGGGGATATCGGCCTCGGATATCTCATCTGCACCCAATAACCAGACCATCTTGGGTTTTGTCTCGGCAACTTTCTGAGATGGAACGGTGAAGCCAACCTCGTAAGCTCCTGCTCTAGAAGCCGCCCGCTGAAGGACATTGTATCCTTGCCACTCCGGAGTGTTGAAGTTGGCCTGGTGCTTGTCCACGAAGGAACCCACTGACTCGAAAATCGCTGCTGCATCCGGGTGCTCGGCGACGGCGCTGCCTACAATGATCATAGGTCTCTTGGCTTCTGCCAATTTCTTTCCAAATTCACCGGAAAGGACTTTCTTGACTGCTGCAGCGTCGGTGCCCAAATGCTCGAATTCGAACGTGCTCTCAAAGGGTTCACCAATATACCCAATCTCAAGCGGCGAACGCATCCACTGTTTGCGAATGCGGGCGTTAAGGACAGCTGCCTCCCAACGGGGATTGCTTCCAATAATGAGCATGCTGTCGGCTTCTTCAACACCAAAGATCTTGGAGTTGAAAAGGTAATTTCCTCGGATGTCGATACCGTGGGCAATCGGTGAGCTACCTCCAGGCTGGTCAAGAGCGAGATTCTCTGAGTTCAATTTATTGGCGAGATCTTTCATGGCAACCAGGGATTCAGTCTCGACCAAGTGGCCAGCGATAGCTTTGAATTCGTTCTCGCCAGGCTTGAGCCGGGCGTACGCGTTGCCGATTTCTGTCAGAGCTTGTTCCCATGTGGCTGGCAGGAACTTATCATCCCTTCGGATCAGCGGTGTCGTTAATCTTTGCGTCTTCAAGCCATCAAGAGCAAAACGGGTCTTATCATCGATCCACTCTTCGTTGATATCGTCGTTCAGTCTGGGTAGTATTCTCTTGACTTCCAATCCTCTGGCGTCTACTCGGATGTTTGAGCCCAAAGCATTCAGAACATCGATTGATTCAAATTTTGTAAGTTCCCAAGGCCGATAGCTGAAAGCCCCTGGTTTAGGCAGGAGAGCACCAACAGGGCACAAGTCAGCCACGTTTCCTGAGAGTTCAGTGTCGAGGTTCCTTTCAAGATATGTGCCGATTTCCAATGAATTGCCTCTGCCTGTAGAACCCAGCTCCGGAGCACCGGCAATCTCGTTGGCAAACCGAATACACCTCGTGCAATGAATGCATCTGTTCATCGAAGTCTTAATCAAAGGCCCAATGTTCTTGTCCTCGACAGCACGCTTGCCCGTAACTTCGTGGAAACGGCCACGATCGGCACCGTATCTCATGGATTGATCTTGTAAATCGCACTGGCCACCTTGGTCGCAGATAGGACAGTCCAACGGATGGTTGGCCAGCAGGAACTCCATAATGCCTTCTCTTGCTTTGTGGGTCATTGGCGAATTGGTCTTGACAACCATGCCGGGTTGGACGGGCCATGCGCACGATGCGACGGGTTTGGGGACTCGTTCGACTTCGACTAGGCACATACGACAGTTCCCGGCAATGAGGAGTTTTCTATCGATCACCGGTTAGCACTGAACGGGCATTTGTGTGCCGCGCTAGGGTTCCAAGGACGTACTCATGGTAACAGTATCGAGGTATCGTCACGCCCGCCTTTTCACAAGCTTGGATCAAAGCTGATCCAGCCTCTATCGACACCTTCTTGCCATCGATGGTGAGTTCGACTTCGGCATTCCGTCTGGCCGAGGAGGTGAACGTCCTGGTCGCCGCTTGCTTCGTTGTTGAGGTCAGCAAAGGTCTTGTGCGCCCGGCGGCGCGAAGAAGCTGAGACCGCATTCTGCCACAACCCGTCGAGCAGGTCCCAGCTCTAAAACTCGAAAGGCAGCGTTGTTGAGATGGAGGTGGTGGCGTCGACAAGAAGCTCTTTGAAGTTTCGCGGGTTGCAGCTTTCATTGACGACAGCACGGTGTCCACCAATCAGATCACGAGTGATTACTGGTCCTCGATCACGGTGGATCAAAAGCCGAGATATATGCAATTCTGACATAACCCACGGATACATACCTCGTCACCCACTCATGTAGGTGCCATGCAAGATACTAACAAGATACTCAACAAGCGCCATTTAACTTTCATACAGTCTGTGGTCTTCCTGAACCTATATACATCCTAAGAGGAACCGATCTGGGTATCTGAAACATCAAAAAACAGACTACCTTAACCCATGACACCCGCTAGTTCAACCCCTCGAAAACCAGTCTCTCACCCTCCTCCTCCAGGCTCCCAAAGTCTGTATCGACACCACATAGGCGTACATCATCGTCTTCAAGGGAACCCAGGCTATCCATCCCTTGTTGAGATCCTTGCCCATTTCCTCCGCTGCGCCGTCAATCATGCCGACCAGAAACGTCACGGGTCCTTCTCTGCTGAACATGCCTTGTTTATTTGTCATGGTCTTTTTCTGGTACCTCTTTGCCCGAGGGAACATGTTCTCTTCGTACTTGCGTACCGCTTCGTCCACGTTGCCTTGCTCCTTCAGAGCTTGCTCAAGGGCCTCGGCCAGCTCGAGTGAATCTTTCATCGCCTTGTTCACCCCCTCCCCTGCGAACGGCGTCATCAGACTGGCAGCGTCTCCAATGAGGGTGTACCCCTTCTTGTGGTCCCAGGTATGCCCAACGGGTAACTCGTAGAGTGGCGAAGCACGGAATCGAGTGCTGACACGGATCAGCTCTTTCTGTTGGCGCGTCCAGTCCTCGTAGTTTTCGAGGATTCTGTCCTTTAATTTCTCCTCGTTGTCACCATAAGTGGCCAACAGGTCTGTAGCCCAGTTCTCGTCATTTTCCTTCTTCACCCAGGCCCCGATCTTGATCGAGTCATCGCCCATTCTTTGCGCAGTCAAACATTTTCCGTCCGAGTATGAAAAGTAACTGCCCTTGCCAACCATCTTTGACAGCTTTGGGTGCTCCTCTTTCGGTCTCACGATGCGGCTTTCAAAGCCACAGATGCCCGCATAGTGTGGCCTCACGTCGGTCAAGACGTGTCGAACTTTGGACCACGCTCCATCAGCGCCGACGACCAAATCAAAGGGGCCGGCCGTCGAACCGTCGCGAAATGTCAGGAAACCGCTGTTAGGCTCAATCGATTGTAGCGTCTTTCCCCATTTCACCCAGTCGCTCTCAACACTCTCTAGCAGCATCTCTTTAAGAACCTCCCGATCTATCTCCGGTCTCTCATAGTCCAGTTGCGACTCTCTGCTCTTGGACTTGGGCTGACTCTTCATGTGGATGATGATCGTATCGTTCTTGTCGGCGATGAACAGCTCCTCCCCCTCGTAACGGAGGTATTTGAGCGCTTCTTCCCACAGCCCTGCCTTTTTCAGAGCAGCGAGACCAGTGTCTGTGTGTAAGTCGAGTGAGCCGCCCTGAAAGGATCGCGATGTGGGACTGGCATCTCTTTCGAAGATAGTGATGGAGATGTCGACAGATGCAACTTGTAGGAGACGGGCAAGCGTGAGGCCCGCGGGGCCCGCGCCGATGATGGCGAGACTTAACGGCATCGGAGTGAAGGGCCTTGTCAGGTGGCTTGGAATAAGTTGGTATTTGATATGAGTGTAATGTCGGGCTTGAGAGAATCCTGATGGACTGATGTCTGGACGTGCTAAAGCACGCTTCCTGCTGGTAACAAATAGTCGTGATGAGGCTCTTATGCCGCCCTTGACTTTCGATGAGCAGCACTTGTAATTCTTTCGTAGTGTACGAGAAAGATCAAACGAGCGAACAGTTGCTGCCTGGACTCAACTACATCTTATATTTGAGGCTGACTCACCTAGTAGTATTTGTTTCACAGCTCAAGAAAATGTGACGCCCTTCAAACTACGAGTACAGGCCATTGGACCCGACGGCCTCATGACGAAGTGTTCGTGGACGTTTGGAATTTCAAAGTTCGGGCCCATGCATTCATTCAGCGGGCTGTCCTATCCACCGGCCAATCCTTCCC